GCTCCTGGGGAGAGTCTGCGCCTGGCCCCGGGCCCTCGGCGAGCCAGTGCTGGGGCGAGAAGTCTGCCGGGAGTGCTGCCCCAGTGCTGCTGTGGGCCGGGCCTGCCTCGGCGCCTGGCCTTCGCCGTGTTGCCAGCATTGAGCCGAAGCCCGTCCGTGGGCATCGTGCCTGCACGCTCCTCCGTACGTGGTACTGCTTCACCCTCACTTCCCCTGGGTTCTTCCTCACGGTGTCTGTGTTCCTCTGTCCTTTGTTGCCCAGAACCTTTGTGGGTCTGTGTGTTGTATTTCCACTCATGTCTGCCTGAAGCTTGTCTCTGCTGTCCCCCCGGCCCTGTGCCCTGAACAATTCAGGTCCAGCAGACCAGTAACTGGCCTGGAGCTAGTCACTGGCACTGGTGTATGTTCTGAATTCCTCTGTGGCACAGCTTCTGGCCTCAGCCTCTTTTTGTGCCTTCTCCAGGATGAGTTACCCTCAGATCTCTACCCATGCTCCTCCCAAGGCAGCCTGTGCTGGGAGCAGTGGGAGAGAGCGTGCTTTGTTTCATCCTGCCACAGGGGTGGTGTAGCAAGTCAAAAGGGAGGTTTCCCAGTTTAATGAAAGGGATGTTTTTCTGCAGTTTTTTAGAAAATGTAGAAATGTTAGCTCTAAGACTTACGACAAAAAATTTGCAGGAGTTTGACAACTCCGTGCCATGGTGCGTTGGCTGAGGCAGCTGATAATTCTCTGATTCAGTTCTGTGTTGTGAGTGATTGTCATCTCAGTTGACAAAACAAACAGTAAAGGAGATGGGACAGCGGGAGGCTTTTTGTTGCCTTCTCTTTTTAGGGTGCGAGAGTTGGTGTTCAGTCAACAGCTCATCTACAGCAGCTGTTACCTTGTGTTTAGTGACTGGCCCCGGGTGGTCATCATTGGGCTGCCCATCAGATTCCTTTTCTTACTAGTCCTTATGAAAAGGGACTGCCTATTTATTTTCTTTTTTTTTTTTCTTTTTTTTTTTTTTCCCCCCCCTTTTTTTTTCTTGTTCCTGTGGAGTTCTTCCTAGGAGCAAATGAAGACTGAGGGTGCAAAGGTGGGCAGGACAAACAGACGCTGGGGACTGGAATTGCTAGGGGAGGCCAGTGAGAAAAAGCCTCCTCACCTGGCAGAGGATGGTGTGCAGGGGCACTGACTGTTTTTGTGAGCCTAATACATTGCGATAATGTAATGATCTTTAAGAACAGATTCCTGAAAACAAACTAGAGGCCTAGCCACCTTCCCTGTTCTTCAAGAAATGCTTCAAACAGTTCTTTCTTCTCAAATAACTACCTGCTTAAGTGCCCTGTAAAAGACTTGTTATCTTCATCTCCACTTAGACCTACGTTCAGCCCACCAGAGTTGGTCTGTTAATATGTAATCCCCTTTTTCCTTTGCTTAGGTGGTCTTTGGGTTTTGTCAGTCGGCTTTTTCATTTGGATAAATTTACTCCCTTTGGCACTTTTCCTGCTAACGTTTGATCTATATGCGATTATGAAATCTCACTTGCTTCTGTACTCGAACTCCCCGGGGTATAGGCCTGCGAGGCCCTCACAGTTATAAACAGCCCTCCCGTTCAAGCAGACAATGCTACGCTGTGTGAGAAAGAGCAAATACCTGCCAGAACCCCTTGCTGCTCACTGCAATCAGGTCTTCATCTGTGGGAGCATGTGTATTTATAGCTTTGTCACAGAACATCATAATTAGACGTGCCCATAAGGCAGCCACAATCCATAGCGTTGTCACAGCTCGGGGACCCCATTATTAGTACTGTGTCATCAGAGGGTTAGACTGCAAGCGGATAACACAGCAACACTTTTGGGAATTAAGTCATGATTCCATTTTGGGGTAGTTAGTTTTTCATCTGATGCTAATCCAGTGTTCTGCGTTGTTGCCCTGAAGACTAAAGTTGGCTTTTTTACTCCCAGAACAGGTACAGTTTCCACATCAAAAACTGAAGCTGCTCAGAAGGAACCACTGCTGTTGGTCTCCAGAAACTGCTGGTGTTCAAT